GTTTAGGAAGAAATGGCAAACTACTCGACGTAACTTTGCCTAGAAAAACCACACAACAGTCAGGGGCTGTTAGGGTTGGTTCTGCAACGTGCTGTAAAGGATACGCAACTAACCTAAATGTTGACAGATTATTGAACCGTGCTGAGTATGCTGATCGCATAATGCAAAAATAACATAATAATCTATATGTCTGACTTCGATTCATCAACGCTGTGGTGTAGTATGTTCTGTTTTTCAGTCCTTCATTCCTTATCCTAGCATCCTTCAAACAAATCTGGTCTCAGATACACAAAGTGGTCTTTTGTCCCTGTTCCATAAAGGATAAAGTTTTTCACTTTAAACGAGTCATCTAATAATTGTTCTGCTCCTGTGCCGGTAAAAATCATACAAAACACGACCAGTCTCTGCTAAATCCTTAAGTTCGCACAAGTAAGAAATACACAAGGCAATCAGCAGATGGGATTAAAAGGTTATGTCGATACTTGAGTGCACTTTTTCGAGAACAAACAGAAATGCGATCAATTTCCAAATTTAAGCTATAGGCCACGACGTTAACAGTAAACTAAAAACCATACGTTTCCTATGCTGTAAGAAAATAGTTCTTGTCTTATCAATTTAGTGTTTTCTCAGTTTTGGCAATAATGATATTGTTAATAGTTGCGGAAGGTTTTGTGACAGAATCTGAACTGGGGCGGATTTTTATAACTGACCAGGGCACGCAGGTCATCAAGGTATAAAATAAGCACCAAAGCCTAAGGGAAACAAAGGCGGTAAATGTGATGTAGCCAAAATAATCCACCAAGTGTCATTCCATTTTTCAAGTTCTAATACATCAGTGACATGAGAAGGGTTCCTAAATTATACTGACTAATGCTGAGATAGGTGTTACGACTGTCTTACAGGTTTAATCGTAGATCAACCCCTTAACCAGAAGCTTTATACCGACAACTCGTCGGCAATATATCTGCTTGTAATTCAATTCACACAGTGGATATATTTATTCTATAAAGATGTTACTCTACGGATGAATTGCACAATCACAGATGAAACAAACCGTTGCTTTGTAAATAAGTAGATTTTTACTCCACTAGGACATCACACAAGCGAGAAACACCTGATGACATAAAGTGCCACCATGTGGATGAGGATCACCGTGGAGAGGTCCCAGAAAGCGCGTTCAGCCGTTAGACTATATTGATGGTCGGGCTTTACTGCGGCCCCTGGAGGGGGAGGGGCTTCATTGGAAATAGAGGAGGTGTTAATTTAAACTAGACTTGTGATTAGCAAAAGCAGTTACAAATTTCAAATAAGGGGAGCTAATCATGTTTTCGGTATTAATCGGAAGTTGCTCAAGGATACAGTCCCTTTATTAAACGCAGGATCACAGCCATCCACCACACGACTTGGAGGTTCCTCATATTTGGTAGATAACTCCAACTCCAAAACAAATATCTTCTTACTGTGCTAAACTATTAGATTCTTTCATACATTTAATTTAGACAACCGATTGATTTGATTTGTAACCACTTACTGACCACACCTATCTCCATAATCGCAGCAGTCTCTTTCCATGTGAAAAAAGCTCTTTTTTTTAAATAAACCTTACCCGAACAGGGCTGCCGGCTGCCCACGGTGATACTGACTGTCCGGGTGCTCCGATCAAAACTTCTATAGGGGAGGAACTGGTATCTGCCTTGTTGCCATGCTACCAAATACTTTGCGGAATGAAAATGGGTCACAAATAGGAGAAACAATCATTTGCAGTAAAATGGTTCACTCCTCTTGAAACAGCATTATTATTATTATTATTTGTAGCTGCTGAGGGATTTATCGGCATTCAAAACCAATTATCTAATGTGCATGTCTATTAAATCTGTGACTCCCAAAGAACACATCATACGTTCATAGGTTCCTACCTAGAAGCCCAATGAACGCATGATGCGCCGATTTTAGGACTCTATTTACTACCCCATGGGTATGTGATGCTAAACCACCTGGGACTCAAAGAGTTAATATTTAGGCTTTGTTGACTTGGCGACGGTGTTGTATTATATCGAGCAAGGCATTCAGACATTGTACAAACATGGTAGGTAAACACAAATATACATACATATGATTAAGACAAAACTAACACTAACATCATGATCGTAACTGTATTGTTGTGCCATGATGTGTCACATAGGGCTCACAATTTCTTCATTGCCTTCTATTCTGGGAAATCCCTTCGATGGCATAATGGGAACCCATCCATCATTTTTGACCTCTCTCAATAACGTTTGTTTTAGAGTTTCTTTTGGACGCCCTTACTTCCCCAATCCTTTTGTTTCCCATTTCAATACCTGTTGAGTGATGAACTAACTGCTCTGGCTTCTCAGGATAAGTCCACGGCTTAGCACTAACATAACATGCTGGAAATGTTGACACATTTTTTAAGGAACCTTTCAGTCTAACAACGTGTGACTACACTATTTACACAGACACACACCCAAAGTTGTGTATGAATATTGCATATAGTTTCATTCTGAATAAAAAATTTTCAAAATTTTCATTTATTTCATTTTCAATAAACAGCAACATTGTGTGCATTAATAATCTGCCTAATTTGATTCTTTAACAATGTTGCTACTTTTCAGTTTCAAATGTACATACATAAATTCCATTTTCAAAATTTTTTATTGTATCCTGGAAAAACATTATACATAATTTAATTTGCAATAATTTTTGTTCATTTCTTTTCTGACATAACTTTTTTTTTTTTTTTTTTTTTACACTTTTGAAAATTCTTTAGAATTATTTTATACAGCAAGTGCTTTTCAACAGTCTGATTTGTTTAATTTCTACAGACATTTTTTCACATTCAGATTAGTTCTGCATTAGAGTATAATTTTTAAATTGCACTTCACATTTTTTAAATGCAAAATGAGCTTGAAAAAGCATTTACAAATAAGATAAATAGTTGTATTCACTATTTGTATTATTTTTTATAAACTAGTGTGAATAAATTCATGAACAGAAATTGTAGATCACTTTGTTCACTTCCTTATGGTTAGCTTTCACAAATATTGTGTAAAAGTCAACACACCTACACAACAATGCAAACACACTGTGGATAATTTCACACACATTTACAAGTGCTCATGCTCATGAGTCCCAGACATCTAGTTTAGCCCCAATCAACGCAGCTCATAGCGGCGTGGGAGATACTCGTGGCAGTAGTCGCCGGAAGTTCGCAGATTAAGTCGCTAGAAGTCCTCAATTTACATGTGACTGAGGCCCTGTTTTTGGCAGCCATAATATGTGCCCGTTTTTTGGAGGATAGCCGATTCTTGTAATTTCATGGACGAACATTATGGATGCTCATAACTCTAAATGCAAACACAACTGGCCACGACTGATTCATACACACAAACAAGCATACTGTGATCCTCTTTTGTCTGTGTGTAAGTTATCATTATAAGTAAACTGTTGTAAAACAATAAAAGTATCAAACAAGTAATCGCAACAGACTGGCTTCTATATACAGAAGAAGATATGAATTAAAATTGAAAACATGAACTCAGTGATCTTTTGTATATGTAGGCACTTCTGATACTTGTAAAATAGGAAACACCAAGCGAAAACAGTAACAATTGAGCAACAAGTTTTTCTGCATGTACACACAAACAAATCAGTTGGAATTGGCACCATTGCTGGTATCTGCTTGAGAGTGTGTTCAACTGGATATTGACTGGATACAAGTAATTTGCCCTTCTCTTCTTTCCTCCCCCCACTCACCCCTCTCCTCCATCTGCTGCTGCTTCTTTTTCTTCTTCTTCTTCTTCTTCTTCTTTTTCTTCCTTTTCTTCTTCGATTTCTGTTTTTTTTCGTTTCCTTCTCTTTCTTCTTCTTTTTCTGCGGCTGCTTCTTGTTCTTCTTCTAAATCTTCACCTTTTTCTTATTTTTCTTGTTCTTCTGTTGCTGTCAGTTTCAGCAATTAAACAATTTTTTAATGATATAATAAAACAAGAATGTATCTTTGTGCTCGCTTCTGTGTCGTTACTGGATTTACCACTTTTTAGGGCAGTTTGGAACAGGCAGGTCTTGTGGCTGAGGATTTAGGAATACAAATCTAGTCAAGTCACCCCAGACTGCAGATTACGGTTTTCTTTTGGCCACAAACAGAAAGAAATCCATCAAATAACCAGAGATTTGAACCTTGGTATCCCAAATGAGATACCAGTGCTCTTAACCACTTGATCAGCCATTGTACTCATGTGTAAAATCATAAAATACAAAAAAATGTGTCCCTGAACCCTCTGCATATGTAGGCAAATATGGTAAAAAATTATTTTAAATTATCAAAACACATAGCAATATTTGCAAAAGGGAGCGAGATAATCACAGCATCTTGTCATTATAATGTAAACTGCATTTAGTCAGTAAAACAAAAATTCAGTTCATCATATTATGGGCATTGCACTTCAGACACATAAATAAAAGTATGTGCTAGCGTCACATTTTCGAGTCATGTCGGGTAGGCATACCAGAAACCCACTGAACCAGGCATCAGGTGTCAAAACAGTAAAGAACTATCTACACTGCTCTCTAGTCAGTCTCTGCCTGTGATTATGGCCACAAGGCCAAACACTAGTGAATAAGAAATACTTCTACTTTAAAAACCTGAAATTCAGGAAGAATAAAAGTGGGAGGTCTCGTTTTCAGCTAAAAATAAAAGTGGGACGTCCCGTTTTCAGCTAAAAATATAAGCGGGATGTTCTGTTTTCAGTTAAAAATATAAGTGGGAGGTCCCGTTTTCAGCTAAAAATATAAGTGGGATGTCCCGTTTATAGGACATGCTTGACACCCACTGCTGGATAATGTGTTCAAAATTATTTCTGGTAGTTAAAACCAGACCAACAGTTTGATAAAACTTAGTTGTTTTATGCTTTAAACATTCTATGCAAGGCCATGTCACAGACGTCACATAATTTGTCTTCAAAAGCAACATAAATAGATCGAGGTCAGACTGGAGATTCTCCGCTGGTACTTGTTGTCCGGACCACTTGTACTGGTTTCGGCTGTCGACTGTGTCCGGATGTCTGAACGTAAATAAACATATTATTGTAAATAATGATATCATAAACATGACAAATTTGGCTGTGTTTCTTTAGGTGCATTACTACAGAATTGACATCATGATATAAAAAGGCAGACAAATTAATTCGTTTTACTAAAAGCGACAAATCATATCGCCTTCCGCTAAACTGTACAGATCCACTGAGGTTTGAGATTAACCCTGTGATCTGTTTAATGTTTAGACGATAGTGTTATACAGCGCTACGAGGAGGCATGGAATTCACAGCCCATGGCGATGGCGAGTGTGACTAGCTAGACCCGCCCCGTTAAATTAGTAGTAGTAGATTTTACCCCACTAGGATATCACACAAGCGATTAACACCCGATGACACAAAGTGCCACCATGTGCATGAGGATCACCCATGGAGAGGTCACAGAAACCGCGTTCAGCCATTAGACCACATTTATGCTTTGGTTATATTACGGCCTCTGACAAGAGTTATAGTGGGGCTACAAAACAACAACAAATTGCATCTCACAAGGGGATGACTAGTTGAGCCCTGTTAAAAAAAAAAGTCTACCACAATTATAGCCTGGGATTTCAGAACCATTGTTGTCAACATTTGTGTTTAGTGTATTTCTTCTCTGGCACTTAGCTCTTATCCTTTCTTCAGCCTTTATTCACATTCCCTTCCTAATGTGCTCCCTCCACACAACACAGTCCGTGGTATGTTGTTCCTACTAGTCCACCTCAATACATGTATAATTAATTCATGTCCCGCTTGCATACATCTTTATATCATAGTAGAGTCCGCCTCAGTATTTTTCAGCCATCTTTAATTCACCATAGAGGAGGTCCTTAGGAACTCTGTCATCCTCCATTCTTCAAGTGTGACCAAGCCACCAGATTGATTATTGGAATACAACAAAATCCCGTTAACACACATTCCAAGGGATCGAAAAGGGGGAATTTGTGTTGTAAAAACTAAGCGTGGACTAACAATAATAATACATTCTTGCTGGGACCACAGCTATTTTCTTTTTAACGAGTTCATGTTGCAGAGGTTTTACAATACAACAGTCCGCGGCTTCGGTTAAAGTTAAGAGGTTCGTCTTTACTGTACCAGGTTTTATCCCACATGGCTCGGTCTTCCTCTGCAGAATGGATAGCTGCCTGCCGAGAGGCACAAACACCGTAGCTGCGTCGACGACTCTCAGGGGTCTTCATAAAAATTGTTTTCGTAAACGGAACGATGCAGAAAACCACGACATTCAGAGAGCGAGGCAACCAACTTGAACTCTTCGCCACGGATATAAACCCACCCCCATTCTCTTCCCGTGGCGTCGGTACTGTCAGAGCCGATCTATTTTTAATCAGAGATGATCACTGCTATAACGTGGCAGAACCACTCACAGGGTACCTTGTGACAGAACTAGTCCATTGAATAAAACTGATGAATAAACAATGTCTTGGATAGGTCACACATCGCGAAAACCTGATAACAATATAACTGGAATATCCTTTAACTGGAACCCACAGGGACCATGGAATAAAGGAAGAGGGGAAACGATGGAGAACGTGATGAAAACATTGCGAAGGACATGGGAAGAGCATGGGATTACAATAGTTCGACATGTCGTGACCTGGTTGAGGGCCTATCTCAGCTGAGAGGTAAAGGCCAGAAAAGGAAGAAGAGATGTGTTCAGAGTTATAAGTTTAGATTCAGGAGCCGTATACCTGGCCTACTATTTTAATTTTCAACCGTCCACAAATTTTACCATTATCAGTGATAACATGGTCCTATTAGTTTCGCAGTATCACTTAGGCGCGGAAAAACATCAGTATTCAGACTTTCACTGAGCAGAAAAGATATGGTGAGAACCGGGTGCAGTAAAATGACATGAACAGATTCTTGTTATCAAGGTGCAAGCCGTAGTCATTGGTCATCATGTGTTTCCTCAGCTTTCTGTAACAGTTACTGCCATTAACTGTTTGTATACCTGTCCTTCCATGCCAGGAAGCCATTGTGGTTAACATATTCTCCTGGGTTCAGGCCCCGGTGAAGGGAGGGTTATTTTCAGGTGGACTTCTGATAATTTCCCCTGGTCTCTGGGTAGTAAGATCAGACGCCGGTGTGTACTGCTGCTCACGTAAAAAATTCATTGGCAGTTGGAAATCGAAAGAAGAGTAGCCTAACCGGGCTGCACGAGAAAAAAAATTTGGAGTTAAAAATCTACCCAAAGTAGTTAGGGATCCTCGCATGTGCTACGGAGTTCGTACACCACGCTGATATTCTTCGGACTCAGGCTTTAGTTAGAAGTAGAACGGAGCATTTATAGGTTACTACCCTTGTGCCATGATGTTGATCCGATGTTCAAAATAAACCAATTAATATTTTTTTTTCTCAAGATGTGCCACAAGAATATGAATTGGTATGTATGTATGTATGTATGTAAGCTTTACCCCACCAGGACATCACACAAGCGATAAACATCAGGTGACACAAAGCGCCAACATGAGAATCACCTGTGGAGAGGTCCAAGAAACCCCTTTCAGCCTTTAAGGCCATATCTAGGGATGGGCCATATTTATGGCCCGGCTATATTCAGGGCCCCCAGCAAAAGACAGAGTGAGCTTCAAAAATAAAAAATGGAATCCTACGAGGGGATGAACTGAATGCTTCTGGTGCGGTTAGTCAGCACTGTTTGACATGGCTGAATTAGTTCAGGATTCATTTAGGACAGGGTATGATAATGATGATGATGATAACGATGATGATATGATCACGATGTCTTGGCCAGAAGAAAATACTTCTTTGTGTGTGTGTGTGTGTGTGTGTGTGTGTGTGTGTGTGTGCGTGCGTGCGTGCGTGCGTGCGTGCGTGCGTGCGTGCGTGCGTGCGTGCGTGCGTGCGTGCGTGCGTGCGTGCGTGCGTGCGTGCGTGCGTGCGTGCGTGCGTGCGTGTGTGTGTGTGTGTGTGTGTGTGTGTGTGTGTGTGTGTGTGTGTGTGTGTGTGTGTGTGTGTGGACTTAAAGTACGTAATACACAGAATATTGTCCAGATAAAAATATTCCAAAATTACCACTCTAAATATTTTCCTTCTATGTAAACAAAACCATAAAACGCATCCTGGTCGTTCTGGGCGATATTTTTCTTTGCGTGTAGCTGTTGATCACACAGACCTGTTTAACCTGTTGGTCACACATGGCTGAAGCCAGTAGCTGGTGTCATGCATTCTTCGCATCCGTGTGTTATTTGTATTATCTAGGCCAGCAATGAAGGCACAATATTGTAGCACTGTAAGCTATTACTGTTTACTCTTGTCTCCAACTCATTATATTTCTTCTTCTTCTTCTTCTTCTTCTTCTTCTTCTTCTTCTTCTTCTTCTTCTTCTTCTTCTCTTCTTCTTCTTCTTTCTTTCTTTCTTTCTTTTTCCAAGTCGTTCCTTCCTTTGTCATTTCATAAAACCAATCCCGTGTCTTCCCTATCTGTTTCTTTCAAACTATAATTTCCTTCGACTTTCCAAGATTGTGAAATCCTAAGAAAACTCCCGCCTTTTACATTCGCATTGTTTGCATCTGCTGGTTTCTCCACCATTTCTACATTATTGCCCAGACCGTGTGTGACTCCACATTGTGAGATCACTAAGGTAGACAGACTGGCATGAGACTGACTGCGTCATTGCACGGAAAACTAGCTTCAACATTAAACAATCATTAAGAAGCGAAATTTAACCCGCCCCCCCCCCCCCCTCCTTTTTTTTAACGCCATATACACATCTGGTATTAGGTTCTATGCCATATTGATTAGACCAGTGCGTGCTCTGTGGGTAAAGCGGTCAACATTATGCAGACCGCCTTTACGTCCAGGAAATTTCCTAGTATTAGTTTTAGGTTGGACTGACCTGGTAGGTTAAAATATGCAGACTCGAACTCAAGATCCTCGGGACGGCATGTATGCATCCAGCCATTGCCATTATTTGCAAAACTAATAATACACAAAGCTAAAAGAGCTTGACGTCGAGTGGTTAAACTTTTTAATGACAATTGTTCTAGAGAGAGAGAGAGAGAGAGAGAGAGAGAGAGAGAGAGAGAGAGGGGGGGGGGGAGGGGGAGCTACCGGTGTAAACGTCATGTGTCCAGATGTACATATATATTTGCTTTTTACAAAATTCAGATCTGTTTGTGTCTCCAGTGGAACAGTACATCATTTAGGAATTAATTATCCTATAAATATTCTAATGAGTGACGAGAACGTTAACACGAACAGTTATCTGGTTGTAAAGAAAATCCTCACATAAAAAAGATCTCAATTATAATTAATTATAATTAATTCTTTCAGTCGCAAGATATTGTTACTGTAACCACCAAAAGAGTTGGAGCTCAACAGATACTTAGCTCTGAAGGAGTTCAGAGGAGACACTGTGTGACAGATAGATATAGTTATACTAACAAGTCAAATGCAAAGAGTTAATATAAGCACTGTCTGTGACAGAAGACAACAAGAACAGCGCATAATATTTTGTAAATAGCCAGCAAACATAGAGTGAATTGTATGGTATTGGAAAAGTTAAGGTTTAACATATAGCTAATAACTAGAATGTAAATGAAGGATTTGTGAAACAGCAATTCTACGGGGGGTTCGTAAAGTCTCCTTTCACTTTGTATGTATAATAAATGTGAAAAACGAACGACCCTATATAATGGTGCTCACCTGCGTGCGTCTCTTGTGACAACACAACTGTTTCTGGTTCAAACACAGTATGATGACCACGACCAAGATGATGAGGGGAAGGGCGACGAGGATGCAGCCCACCGCCAGGAGCGCTGCATCGCTTTTTGTTGTCGAAAGCACTATTAGAATTATACCTGAAATGATTTTAATAGAAACTTTAAAATATTTCCATCAATAAAGTGTATTTGATAATAAGGTGTAATTAATTTTGATTAAAAAATATCTCATATAATTTATATACAGTCTTCTGCTTCTTCTATCCTTATGTCAGAAAACTTATGTCAGGATTTATATGTAGTGATATTGTTGTCCGTATGCTGATGTATGCCGACGAGCATTTTGTAGCAACAACGTTAAATTTGTCACTCTAGAGTGTAGTGTTTAGAAACTGACCAGGTCTGTTGACAATTTTATCAGATTTATCAGTGCTTAAACATGAAGGATTTGATTTATAGCCTTGACATATGATCAGTTTAAAAGCCTTGATTGTTTTGATTTGTATCATACTCTTCGTCGGGGTAAGTTGCTTAGGCATTGCGAACGTGCTTTGTAATTCTGGGAGACTCCATCTGATTACCACAGGCGATTTGGAAGTAGACTTGCGTAGACCGCTTTGCGCTGATTTCGACAACAGTGTGGAGTGCTACCCGTTGAGCAATAAGAAAAGCGACTAAACATAAAATATAAAGCAAGTAAAGTAAAGAACCCTTTCCATACCTACAAGCGTACTGGGCATATAGGGCTAAACCTAGATTTTATAGACCAGTCGGTACTTAATGGGCAATGTGGCCGGCGTCACACCGGCCGCCTTTATCTCGCAGCACTCCGCCTGATACCCATTCAACGACTGGGAGCAAAGGTTATTTTTGACAAAGGTCCGGTACCGTCTGAACCCGAACCTACGACCTTCCTTCCGAAGGAATGGTCATTCCTAGTGAATCTTCTTCTTCTTCTTCTTCTTCTTCTTCTTCTTCTTCTTCTTCTTCTTCTTCTTCTTCTTCTTAGTGTTCAAACTCCGGCGGAAAGCTGTGATTTTTCATCCACTTCTGTATTTGGTCTTGAAACAGAACTTGAGTTGTGCAAGCACATCATTTTCATAGGTCACGTTTACATGTCACACTTGTTAGAAAGGTGAGTGGGGTAAGTGGGGGTGGGAGTGGGTCAGTGATTGTATTCTTTGTACTTCAAAATGAAGCCCCGGAATCCACACGGGAAATTACTTGTGAATAAACACTATCGGGGATGGCTTTCTTCTTGGGTTAGGATCCTTTGCTCTCGTAAAGATTCCCTCCACACCCCCCTCCCCCTCCCCCCCCCCCCCATCCCTATCTCGTTTATTCTTGGATACTGCCCATGTGTTGGCAACTTTGTTGCTCCTTTTAACACTGCGCCCAGTTTGAATTATATGTTTCTTAATGTATCTGACACACAGATATATTCCCTCTCTCCCATGGCTGTACTGTTCCTCACTCGCTCTTGGATAAGCATCTGCTTGGGATCGGTGAGGGGTCTCCCAGACACCTCATTTTACTAATGCAAATGGTGCGTATGTAAGTTGCTAGCTATGTCCAAGTATGACAGTTGTAGCCTAGCATTGGCATGGTTATGTTACTTATGCTACATTTAAAAAATAATAAAAAATAAATATAAAACCTGTTATAGAAACTGAAACATGCTCACTGTAATACTTTAAATTAACTTTTCCAGTGCCATTTTACCAGTAAATATCAGAGCATTCTAAGTTATCATTTAACTAAAAACGTGTTGCTTCAGATTAAGTTGCAACTGAACATTACACCACACCACATGTTGTCACACACACGTCTCCCACAATAGGCGTAGAAATACTGTAATGGAGTGTGAATTATATGGTTAACTTTATACAGACACGTTTGGTAGCTGCCCTGCTTTTTGTTTTCCTCAAAAGAGGAGAAAGATGAGAAACAATGAGATAAGATGAGACGATATGAGACAGACTTGGTTTCTCAGCTACTGGAGCTATTGGTAAATGGAGTATGGTTAGGCTGGGGAAAATGTTTGAGATATATATATTTTTTTCTTATATGGACGGCCTCCGCGCGAGAGCAAGCACTCTATCTCTCTGTCTTTTCCAATCAGATAAGTGGCTGCTTCTATTACAAACCGTTATCGTTACCAACGACAAGTACTTAGTAATGTCTTTTAAGTATGTGGTGCGATGCAATCTCACAGGCAGACAGGACAAACAATGAGATATATGAGCTTATGCACATATACATACACACATATCATACATACACGCACTGAGAGAAAAGGACAATGTGTGTGGAAAAGACAGGGCTAAGCAACAATTATTAATCAGTACAAACTCACCTGTTGGTAGAGCCACGAAAAATGCGAAACCAACAACTGAGGCTGCCAAACATCCCTGCAGACAACATATACTTGTCTTGGCGTTGTCTGTAAGCAACAAGTGCATGTTAATTAGTGTACATAATTATCTATTTTTATAAAGATGTCTGTAAAAATGTGAGGGGAAAAGTCAGAAATATTTCAATAGAGGTAGCAATACATCTAACAATATGATTCTAGGCTCTTATTTCTGATGCCTCAGTGGCTTGTGAAGGGACCATTAATTTACCAATAAATCTAGAGAAATGGGTCCACCCTGACAGCCTTTCGTAGTGTTATTGAAAAAGTGTAACAAACTGAACCACTTTACGTAGCGTTAAAAAGTATTACAAAACCCAACAGATTTATATACAATTACTAAGAGTTACAAAACTAGCAGCTTTAGGTAGATTTAAAATGTATTACAAAATCCACCAGCTTTTCTTTAGACTTAAAATAGATTACAAAACTGGACGCTTTGCTGTAGAATTATAGAATACGACAGCTTTCTGTAGAGGTGTTGTAAAAGTGTTAAAAGCCCGACAGCTTCTTGTAGAGTTATTATTAAAATATTACAAAAGCGGACATGTTTCTACAGCGTTACTGTAAAAGTTTTACAAAATCTAACAGATGTTCACCTAAGAAGAAATGAAGTTATAAAAGCATTTTAAAACCCCAATACAACATCAATTTTGAGCAACACAATGTTACAGGTTTAACAGTAGGATATGTCATCGTTAGCATTACAGAGGTTAAACAATATGAAAAGCATTTACACAGCATCAGGAAACTACTTGAAGCTAGAATCCCGAGTCGAGTTTCCCTGTGGTAGCTTGTGGATTTGAGTCGTGGACTCTTTCACAATCACCAATAGTTTAATAAAATGGGAGTTTTGAACCTAAACTTCCGCTGTGTGGGTTCCGTTGCCCAATAGTAGGGACAACTAGAATAGACACACTGCCTGCCTTAAAGCATGTACTAAGAGGAGACTTATTGGGAGCTTCCTTCGAAGTCGGAGTGCATCTACCCCAAAGGCAAGGAACCAACAGTCGGATCCCAGGTTCTGGAACAGGACTACAACCCAGAAGTGGACGAAAAACCAGAACATTCCACTGAAGTTTACAGCTGGTGAACGCGAAGAAAAAGGAAAACTTAAGGGTCACAGAAAGACTCTAGAATATCATGGACCAAGAAGCAAATTAATGACCTTCTTCAGGAGTTGAGCATAGAGAGAAGGAGAGTGGCTCCGACACGTTATAGTTTCTTGACAAGTGAAACTGGAAAAATGTAGGAGACAGGACATTTTGCATGGGACCAAGGGGCTGTATGGCGTGCCATGGTGATAGCGACCGTGTGAAGAAAAAAAAACTGCTGCTAGACTAAGGTGAATGTACCGCACTGTGGAAGGAAACTTTGAACTGCAGCCGCTGCGCTAAAGTCGCACGTATCAAAACAAAGCAAATATTCATAAAACAATGAGTCTCGATAATAGACGAGAGTTTAAAGAGCACTAGGAAATCTGTGGATGTCAAAGGACGTTGAAAACTAGTTCCACACTTAAAATAATTAGGTCTGAACCTAAATAAACACAGTTATGTAGAAGTAAAATATGGAGAACAAATAAAGCAATTATTGATAAACTATAAATATTCATTGAGTGGTGCCAAGGAGAACAATTAAAGCAATTACTGATAAACTATAAATATTCATTGACTGGTGTATCTGCAGAATAGAGGGGATTAAATGGTATGACAAAGCTACTAGCGTAGAGCATTATGAGAGAAAAGCACATATTTAAGTGAATGAAGAGCTGAGTAGAAAACGCTGGAATTGAATAGGACACACGCTGGGAGCCGCGTTAGCTCAGTCGATAAGAGGCTGGCTTTCAAATCCAGCTGCAACTCGCTGCAGCCACGGTCGGTGTTCGAAAGCGGGCGGCTCCCGGGGTTCATCCTGGCTGTATGAAATGGGTACCAGAGTGACTCTCTGGGGTAACTGGAGGAACGTCGCTGTAGCTACAGAGTGACGTGCGAACGGCGACACAGGCGGACAATTCTTATCAGCTGTCACTACTGGTGGCAGAGCACTTATGGTTTATAACCGTATGCAATGACGCTGGTTCACATCTCCCGACTTTAGGACACACGCTGAGAAAATATGATAAAGAAAATATAGATAGAATATCCTTGTACTGAAACCCACATGGTCAAGGAAATAATGGTAGTGCACAACACACAGACACACACACCAAATAATAACAATCGGATCAAGATTTAGTACGCATACCCGAAGATAAGCTCAGATCTGAAGCACACTTTGCATCATATGCTTTTCAGCAAAAAGTCGACCTGACTAACGAGGGGCAAATCGTAGCTTGTTAGTGCAGAGGATGATAATCAAACATGTTTGCAGTCGAAGAATGAGTATCTGTGCCTCCAGCGCTCAATCGTACCTTCTCTTGTGTCGTCATGCTCGATAGAGTTGTCCGGAGCAGGATCTTTTGCTGTCATTGCTAAAGTCCACTCGCTTATCAGTAACAATTCAGATGAAGCAGATTGGCACAAACTGGTCTGCTGTACGAGGACACACGAGTGCATGGGCATTCACTGCTCTCAATGCAGGACAAACAATTCTAGAAACCAGTGAAGCTTTCTCTATCACTACCAGCAGTATGACGATGGGGGTGATGACAGTGACACAGGCTTTCATGTGGCTTGAATTACAAGACTATGCTGAATGATTCTTAGAGCATGATCCGGCGGGGCGAGGCAGACTCTGTACCCTTACAGTGTTGTTTGCAATGAAAGAGCGGACAGACTGGCTGGTTATGCTTTAACTGCAGATAGCCGGTTTATCGAAGGCACCGACATTGTTAATGCCCTTATAGAGATATGACGATCAGAGGATTCTGGGAGCAGCTCAGGCACATAACTGCTAAAAATGTGAGAGTTGGGAGTAAAAAATGTGCAAAGCCAGTCATGGGAGGCACACAGGGCATGGAAGGCACACAAGGCATGGGGGGCACACCGGGCATGGGAGACACACTAGGCATGGGAGGCACACTATGCATGGGAGGCACACTGGGCATGGGAGACACACTGGGCATGGGAGGCACACTAGGCATGGGAGGCACACTATGCATGGGAGGCACACTGGGCATGGGAGACACACTGGGCATGGGAGACACACTGGGCATGGGAGACACACTGGGCATGGGAGACACACTAGGCATGGGAGGCACATTAGGCATGGGAGGCACATTAGGCATGGGAGGCACACTGGTCATGGGAGACACACCGGGCATGGGAGACACACTAGGCATGGAAGACACACTGGGCATGGGAGACACACTAGGCATGGGAGACACACTAGGCATGGGAGACACACTGGGCATGGGAGACACACTAGGCATGGGAGACACACTAGGCATGGGAGACACACTAGGCATGGAAGACACACTAGGCATGGAAGACACACTAGGCATGGGAGACACACTAGGCATGGGAGACACACTAGGCATGGAAGACACACTAGGCATGGGAGACACACTAGGCATGGGAGACACACTAGGCATGGGAGACACACTAGGCATGGGAGACACACTAGGCATGGAAGACACACTAGGCATGGAAGACACACTAGGCATGGAAGACACTCTAGGCATGGGAGACACACTAGGCATGGGAGACACACTGGGCATGGGAGACACACCGGGCATGGGAGACACACTAGGCATGGGAGACACACCAGGCATGGGAGACACACTAGGCATGGGAGACACACCGGGCATGGGAGACACACCGGGCATGGGAGACACACTAGGCATGGGAGACACACCAGGCATGAGAGGCACACTAGGCATGGGAGACACACTAGGCATGGGAGGCACACTATGCATGGGAGACACACTGAGCATGGGAGACACACTAGGCATGGGAGACACACTAGGCATGGGAGACACACTGGGCATGGGAGACACACTGGGCATGGGAGACACACTGGGCATAGGAGACACACTAGGCATGGGAGACACACTAGGCATGGGAGACACACTAGGCATGGGAGACACACTAGGCATGGGAGACACACTGGGCATGGGAGACACACTGGGCATGGGAGACACACTAGGCATGGGAGGCACACTAGGCATGGGAGGCACACTATGCATGGAAGGCACACCAGGCATGGGAGACACACCGGGCATGGGAGACACACCGGGCATGGGAGACACACAGGGCATGGGAGGCCCACTATGCATGGGAGACACACCGGGCATGGGAGGCACACTATGTATGGGAGACACACCGGGCATGGGAGACACACAGGGCATGGGAGGCACACTGGGCATGGGAGACACACCGGGCATGGGAGACACACCGGGCATGGGAGGCACACTGGGCATGGGAGACACACCGGGCATGGGAGACACACCGGGCATGGGAGACACACCGGGCATGGAAGGCACAACAGGCATGGGAAACACACCGGGCATGGGAGACACACTGGGGATGGGAGGCCCACTATGCATGGGAGACACACCGGGCATGGGAGGCACACTATGTATGGGAGACACACCGGGCATGGGAGACACACTGGGGATGGGAGGCCCACTATGCATGGGAGACACACCGGGCATGGGAGGCACACTATGTATGGGAGACACACCGGGCATGGGAGACACACCGGGCATGGGAGACACACCGGGCATGGGAGACACACCGGGCTTGGGAGGCACACCGGGCATGGGAGACACACCGGGCATGGGAGGCACACTGGGCATGGGAGACACGCCAGGCATGAGAGGCACACCTGGCATGGGAGGCACACTGGGCATGGGAGACACACCGGGCATGGGAGACACACCAGGCATGGGAGGCACACCGGGCATGGGAGGCACACCGGGCATGGGAGGCACACTAGGCATGGGAGGCACACCAGGCATGGGAGGCACACCAGGCATGGGAGACACACCAGGCATGGGAGGCATACCAGGCATGGGAGACACACCAGGCATGGGAGACACACCAGGCATGGGAGACACACCAGGCATGGGAGGCACACCAGGCATG